ACCATCGACTTGTGCAATAACCCACAAACCAAAGAACCGAAACTGTCGGCCGCGATGCGAATCGCTCCCGAATGGGTAGACTATGATCACGAGATTAAAAAGTTATGGCAACGTATTAATCCACCGGTGACCCCGAAAATTGTGCCTTCCGAGACGACCACCACTACTACTACCCCGGCGACAACGGGCTCATCTCCACGGAAAGCATCTCCACTTATGCCCTCGGCGCCCGAACAGGACGGTTAGTATGAAGCGTTTACGGTTTTAAACAAAATCTGGGGGTTTCTGTGTCTTCTGAATTTGCTAACCCTCCAGTTGTTTGTTACATTCTCATCAGTCATGTTGTAGATAATGGATACTGTTGGTTCACTGAGTTGAGTCTACCAATGCAGTTCGTTCTTTTCGTTTCAAAATACTTAAATCACTGGATTCTCAAATTTGTTCGTTCTGATGTATGGTGTCTCGTTCTGTGGTGGTTGACGAAGCAAGAAACCGCTCTAGCGATTGTTTTATATTATCCTGTGCGATCAGCTGTTTATGAACATGTTTGAGTACGGATAAAATTCACTGAATATATACACATTTTGACTCACGATATGCCTCCCGCGACATGTTGGCAGGCGACAGCTCTCCTATTACTCATTACAGTGCCGAATCTTTCTGTAGTGGTGCGTTTTTCACTCGGTTAACATGACTGTACAATGAAACCGTCTGTGTAAACCATACTGTTTTCAACTGGAGCATTTTAGTTGTAAGATTTTCCTTCTTAATACTATGTTCAGCATTGAGCCATGTGATGGGAACGAGTCACGTACTTGGCCTGTTTTTAATTCAGCTTGCTGTGTGAGGAGCACGGATGCGCTTTAAAAATTCGCGATGTTTCATAGAGTTTCGATACAAAAGATGACCTCAGCGTCACCAGGCTTTTCGAGGGTTCACCCATAACCTTTGCGCCACGGTGTGAAGACTGCCGGATACCAGTCGATTGGTTTAATGTGGTTACCGGTCCCTCCTGCTTACTCAAGTGGTATTTGATACATGTTGATACCATGCAGAGACATATTAGTTAGCCAGAGTTCCTTTATAACCCACGGATCTGGCGGTAGATCTCGCCCACCCACAAATAATTACCTGTTTTCTCAAGAATAACAATCTGTTTCTCATTGAGGGTTTTGGGTCTCGGTTGAAAATTTATCCCCTCCCTAAGTCAGATCGAGATATCTGTTTTGTGATGTAACGACCTCTTTGACCGAATTATGTCATTGTATGTGCATCCACACCAGATTGATTGACCCCCACCTATTTCATTGTACCATTACTGTTTGCATGTCTGCCTTTATTCTCACTTTTGTTCATTTCCTGACCATGAAAATCAGCATAACTGCTGTATGCACATCACGGGGATCCTAGACACACTGTACCAACTCATGTTTGTAATCTCTCTATTCCACTTCGTGATGGTAGAGTTTTGCATTGTTGATTTCATCCACGTCTACATTTTCATCCATTATTTTCACCCCCATTGGAAATTCGTCTATCCTACTGGAAAGTTAATTTATGTGCACACCATACCGCTTGGTTTCTTGCTGCTATCTTTAACATACCGAAGTTTCAGCAAAGTGGCTTATATTGCATGTGACTGGTATTTTTCGCAGTTTTCATCGAACTGAATTATCCGCTCTCGTCTTCCCATGCCCCTACCCCCGGTTGTCATACCACAGATCCGGGAACGTGTTCTGCGAGCACGTGCACTGCGGACAGCACACAGTCAGCCGGATTCAAACCACCAGTTCCACAACAGACTCCTGTTTCTAAGTCTGAGATTAAGTCAGGTACGGAGGAGGTTTTTCCGGAAACTGTTTCTTATCGAATCTGGAGGAGTACCAATAAACTTAACTTTTGCTCATCATATTCAAGCCTAACTGATTCTACAAAACAAACAGATAGAACTGCAAGCAGTGGTAGCTTTTCAACTAGTCACCAGGTGTGGAAATTGACCGCGAACCTGCGAGTTATCGTTCGCGACATCGTGACTTTTTGGTGCTACGTTGCTAGGCTACGTTGGCGAACGAGCACGTGGCGGAACGGGAGCGCGTCTGACTCCAGATCAGAAGGTTGCGTATCCGAATCACGTTGGGCTCATCCTCGTATTCCCAGTTGTGTAATCTAATCTAATCTGTTTTCGATCCTTTCGAAAACTTAACTGTATCATAACATTTCGCAGGGGGAATTCGTCTTGTATAGAGCTGCTAATGAGACCTAACCAGGTGGAAACAGGTTACTAGGTCTTCCCTTCACACAAAGAATTCTCTCTATGAAATTGAATCAATTCCTTCATTAATCTCGTGCATCATCATAATTTCTCCTCTAACTGTCCTGTTCGAAGCGTCTGTTAGTCTCTCTTGCTCTCTCCAGTAAATCGCTCAATTTCCTCCGTTTTTGAACGAACTATACAATATGCTACTCATGAGTAGACACATTATAAATGACAAAGTTTGCACGTCATGGAGACAGCAAGGGCGCTGCGAACTTTTCCCGTTTAATCTCCTTTCAGTTTCTTCGTGTTGTTGCCCAAAACGCCACTTAATGTTAAATGCCTCATTTGCTTCAAATGAGGAATATATAGCCGAGTTCATTCGACCATCTTCATCATATAGTTTCTCTCGCACCTTTATGGTTTTGGAAGAAAACTATCTTGGTCATCAATTTAATGAACCAATTGAAATTGTTCCTTGTTTGTGCTGTACGCGATGTTCTATTTAACGTCATCTTAGTTTTTGACCAAAATCCGTGAATCGAATCGAGATGGTTTATCTTATAAACCACCTGGTGCTGATTAATGCTAATTAATGATCAAGCAGGATCATTTCCGCTTATGTGAATAAAAGTCAAACAAATCGCGAAGCAGACCACAGAAAAGTTGAAAATTCAGTATTCTCCGAAAGCTTCATTGTGGTTTGGGTGGCTGTCTCGAATAATGACTAGTCATTAATCCTTCACACCTCGCAAAATGTTCCTATATGACCAAGCGTCTCAAAGAACCTCTACTGAGGTAGCCCTCGTCATTACCTTCCCGTGGCGGAGGTGTTTCACCACCAAAGTGAGAGAACGGAAACCCAACATCCAGGACTATAACCGGGTCGGTGAAACACGAGCAGCTCATTTAGGGGAGTTGGCTAAAAACGTGATTGCAAACCAAACAAGAGGAGGCGTACGAACGACACACCTTGGTTGTGGTAGTGGTCATGGGTTCGATTAGAGATCAAGGTGTATTAAACACCCTGGACACTTGATCCAGTTCAAATTGAATGTTGTCTAATGACTTGGACACCGGCCCCCAATGCACTGCGGACCGGACTGAGTTCTTTTCTGTTTTCTTGCGGGTCTCTCTCTCCAGGCAAAGGCTTAGAGTGGTCGTTCCGCGGTATTCCCCTCCTCGGTCAGAACAACCGGGTAGTAACAGGGCCACACAACGCATGAACTCATTCTACAGAGTTTTTGTTCGTATATTGTGGCACATTTGCCAGTTCTGTGTAATTGGTTGCGTGCTGAAAAAATGTTAAACGTGCGAGTACTGTAATATAGTACTTTTCAAATGTAGTTAAAATATTTCGTCGACTGCTTCCAGTGGTTGGCTTACATAGGAGGTATATGGTTTAGGTTACTCGCCCTCATGATTTCTCCTGAAAGAAGCGTTCGTTTTTCATTGAGAACCGATTTCTACGATGAGTTTTATTTACTTATTTTGTTGCTATTTATTAGTAAGCAATATTTATATATGAAAGTAGTTTAAAAGTGATCACTCCGTTCCTCTGTGATGACTCCAAAATTAGTGAACAGCTGCTTGGCCCTTGTTTGGAGTCATCGGCAGTGCATGCTTTTGTATTAGCCTCACCCGTGCTTCTGCGTAGGTCAGAATGTTTTTCTGCAACTACAGTGAGTTTTTAAGCCAGAAGGAACGAGTATATTTATTCCCGATGGGTTTGCTGATAGCTGTTTGAGATTTTTGTGCATGTTAATCCGTGAAACCAGTGCGCGTTCCGCCCATACTTTTCTTTCCTCGCTTTTGAATATCATCATTTTCGTGTTTACTGTTTCACTGTTAGCGTCTGAGTCTCATCAATATAGATAGCTTTTTCATAATTATTTGATGCAGGCGTAATTTGAGTTTCACGACTTGTATGCATGTTTTTGATATCCCGTAGATTGTCTTCTTCCAACCCGGTACAAACGCTGTGTGTAGTTGTTATCTCGTTTACGTACCGTCTGACAGTGATATCAGTCATAAAACGCGATATTATGTTATGAAACTACATATATTCCCACATCCTGTTCTGTCTTATATTATTGCCGTTTTATTACTGACTGTTTTATTTAAATACTTCTAATCTGTTTTTAATTTACAGAATCCAAGGATAAAGCTTCGGATACGAAAACTGAGCTTTAATTCCTTAATTGTCTGTGCCAAATTCCTGCCATTTCCATCCCCATCGAATTCACACGATTTTGCAGCATTCCCAGTGACTTGGGAAATGACTTGTTTCTTTGCAGTTTGAGTGCGATTTCCTTGTCGATCCTTTTGAAATGTTCCACCCTGGGGAATTTCGGTTTTTCCTGGCTGTGGTTTGCTGGTATCGATGCTTTTGAATCCTCCTTTCCCATGTCTTACGCTCTTTCTCCTTTTCAGTCTCTTATGTGAAATTGTTGCTCCATCACGGTTCTTATTTCACTACGCTTTATATTCCGGATCATTGGTCCTGTGTATACCTCACCTCACATCACCACTCTCCGTTTCTGTATAAAAAAGAGTTGTCTTTGCTCATTGTGTCTTTTTTCAATTGATTTGGTGTTTAGGCTACCCATGCTTCGTTGTATTGGTGCGCTCTTTTGTACTCTTGTTTCCTGTACGTTGATCCCCACATCAACTCTGCAGCCTCTCTCGTTGCAATGATCCAATTTGTTTGTATTGTCGATAAATATGCCCTTAACGGTGACCGTCAACGGTCTGCTGTCCCGGCGTATCGTGTTGTTTTGTAAAGTTGTGGTGTTGCTCACGTTTTTTTCCACTCCTATTNCCGGGTGTTGCCTTTTTTTTAGCATACTCTGATTGGTGGGCTTGCGTTGCTTTTTGCGGACTGTACGTTGGATTTTAATCATTTTGAGAGTCAAACGCCCTCGGATACGATAACCAGCTATTCGAGCATTTTCGTTAGTACCGGATATATCATGGGGCGTTTCGTACCTTGCATTATGTTGAGAGTTTAGACCACATTTGTGGATACATA